CAGCCTCAGCCTCAGCCTGCTTCACCTCAGCCTCAGTCTGCCTTCAGCCTCGGCCTCAGCCTCAGCCTGCCTCAGCCTCAGCCTGCATCAGCCTCAGCCTCAGCCTCAGCCTGCCTCAGCCTCAGCCTCAGCCTGCCTCAGCCTCAGCCTCAGCCTGCCTGCCTCAGCCTGCCTCAGCCTCAGCCTCAGCCTGCTTCAGCCTCAGCCTCAGTCTGCCTTCAGCCTCGGCCTCAGCCTGCCTCAGCCTCAGCCTGCATCAGCCTCAGCCTCAGCCTGCATCAGCATTCAAAATGTGGCCCGGGAATGGAGTTCTGGGAACTCGAAGAACACGAAGTGGCCTACAGTTGGCTCTGGGCATTCAAAATCATGCCCAGGAATGGAGTTCTGGGAATTCGAAGAGCACGAAGTGGCCTACAGTTGGCTCTGGGCATTCAGAATCATGCCCAGGAATGGAATTCTGGGAACTCGAAGACCACGAAGTGGCCTACAGTTGGCTCCGGGCATTCAAAAGCATGCCCAGGAATGGAGTTCTGGGAATTCGAAGACCACGAAGTGGCCTACAGTTGGCTCCGGGCATTCAAATTCATGCCCATGAATGGAGTTCTGAGACCTCGAAGACCACGAAGTGTGTAACTGTTTGCTTAAAACGACGTCCGCGGATTCTCCCCGGATCCTGCCCAGACCCCCCTGGGGAGTCATGATGCTCTCTTTTGAGACCACTAGAAACCTATCAGTCTTCGCTGTTAGGTAAAAAACGGCACTGTAAGTCGGGCGTGTCCCTCTACAGGAGGCACGTTCAAAAATAGTCAAAACATAGGATGGGGATGAGTTTTTGAATATTTTTCTTGGATCCTTTTTTTTTCTCCTCTTTTTTTTCTATCTGATTTCCTCCGAAATCTGCCTGTAGGGGGGCATGCCCGACCTAACGCTGGACCCCCTATCTGGCGCGCGGATCGCGCCAGGGTCGGCGCCGGAGGCGCCGCCAGGGGGCCCAGCGCCGATCCGAGAAGTCCGCGCGCACCCCCGAATGTTCCCCAAACAATGCTTGCACTCAGGGGGGTCCTGTTTCTCTCAGAAGGGACCGGGCCCGTGTGGCGGTCTGGGCAGCATGTAGCCGCCCGTCGCCGCCGCCATTGCCGCCCGTCGTCGCAGACGCCGCTGGATTGCATTGTATTGCGTTGCTTTGCATTGCAATCGCATTGCTTTGAATTGTTTGTGTTGCTCTGCATTGCCTTGCAACGCGTTGCGTTTATATGCGTTGCTTTGCACGGCTTTGCGTTGCATTGCATTATGTTGAATGGCGTTACGTGGCTTCGCATTGCTTTGCATGGCTTGCGTTGCTTCGTATTGCTTTCCATTGTGTTGTTTTGCGTTGCGTTGTGTTGCGTTGCATTGCATTGTATTGCCGTGCATTGCTGAGCATTGCTTTGCATTGCTGTGCACTCCTTCGCGTTGCTTCGCACTGCTAGAGCATTGCTGCCGCATAGCTATGGCACTACTATTGCATTGCGTTGCATTGCTTCGCATTGCAAAGCATTGCGCTGCTTTGCACTGCTGTGCATTGCTTTGCATTTCTAGCGCATTGCTTCGCAATGCCTTGCATCGTATTGAATTTCCTTACATTGCCTTGTACCCTCTTGCACTGCGTTGTATTGATTTACATGGTTGTGCACTGCGATGCATGTCTTTGCATTGCTGTCGCACTGCTATTGTACTGTTTTGCAACGAATTGAAATGACTTGCATTGCGTTGCATTGCGTTGCATTTCTGTGTATTGCGTTGCTTTGTATTGGTTGCGCTGCTTAGATTTGCGTTGCATTGCATGGCTTTTCTTTCTTTGACCTTGCATTACGTTGCATGGCTTTGCATTGCTTTGCGTTGGTTTGCATTGCGCTGCATTGCGTTTCTTTGTGTTGCTTCGCATTGCTTCGCGTTGCTTCGCGTTTTATTGCTTTGCGCTGCTGTGCGTTACTGTGCGCCACGCAGATTGCACCACATGGAATGCACCACCTAGATTGCACCGTGTTGACTGCACCACCTGGATTGCAACACTTGTGTTTATGCCGATCCCTGTTCCTCGACCTCCACGACGCCCGGCCCCGGCGCACACAGCCTCGAAGAGGCGGCCAGCGCGGGCCAGGTTCGCGCGCGCCAGCGCGTGCAGCGACCTCCTCGCGAGCAGCATGCCCCACGGGAGCACCGTGGCTGCCGCCGGGCGCGGCCGCAGGTGGACCCCTCGCACGGGGCCCGGCAGGCGTCTGCCGAGGCCGCCGCTGTGCCGCGTGCGTGCGCGGTGCCCAACAAGGTCACCGTGGCTGCTGCCAAACGCGGCTTCGAAGGGACCCCTCGCGCTCGGCACTGCAGGCGCCCGCCGAGGCCGCTGCAGTGCCACGTGGGGGGTGCGCCTCGCCCTGCTGGCCCTGGTGGCACAGCTGCTGCCGAGGCGGCTCCTTCGGTTGGCGGTCCCGACCCGCGGCATCCCAGGGCGGGGTCCTCGGATCGCTCCAGCCCGCTGCTGTCCATGCTGCTGCTGAAGGCGCGCCCTGCACAGGCAGGTGCAGTGCCGAGAACACAGGCACGGTCTTTGCGAGTGGCCCTGGCGCGCTGGACCTTCCTCAGGGGTCAGTGCGTGCTGCTCCTTCCGTTGCCCACGGCCGCCCTGCCGAAAGGTCCGCTGATCTATGCGTCGGCCTGAGACGGCGCACGCTGTTCGGCCCCCATCGTTTCGCGCCCGAGGGCCCCGCTGATGGCAGCTGCGCCGTCGAGGGCAGGAGCAGCAGCAGGGGCCCGCCTGACCGTGCTGCCGGCACGAGCCTGCCGAGCCTGCGGCCGCGCTAGACGCCGCGGGGCGCGCGCGCCGTCGCGCGGGTGTGACTCGGCTCGCGTGCGAGCATGCCCGCTCGCGGTTTTGATGTCGGTCCTCTTTTGCCGTCTTTATTCGGTGTCTTTCGGTCTCCTCGGACCTTCGGTTTGCGGTCGCCCTGCGGCGGCCCTTCGGTCGTTGTGCCCCCTGTGGCGCCGCACTGGGCGTTGCGTTAGGTGCACCGCCCTGGTTGGCTTTTGGTTGTCGCTGATTGTGGCTCTCTTCAGTGTGCCCAATGCAGTGCAATCCTCCCGCCCTCCCTTCCTCCTGCAGTACGCGCACACGATAAGACGTCTTGCTATGAGAGATCCAGGAGCACATACGGGCACATCCTTCGTCGACTCTGAGCTCCGTAAGGTGACCCAGGGCTCGAGGGTGAGCGCGAAATCGTCGTCGACCGTGGTTTATCTAGGAATGATAAACCTAGGTTCGTTATGTTCAGATGATACCCCCATTGGATTATTGTCCTGTGGATGGATCGGTGTCCCCCCCGCTCGCCGTATCATTTCATTCTGGAATCATGCATCTGGGGTCGATATTCCGACATTGTGAACCAGGGTTGATCCCAATCCAAGCTCCTTCTCAGGCGCCCCCCCTCCGCCAGATCATTATCATTCCAGAATAATGAACCTGAGTTTATTATTGCCAGAACATTACGAAGCCCAATTTGTGAGGTTCTAGAGATAACGGAATGGGGTCAATATTCTAACATAATGAACCCCAATTTGGAGGCGCGGGGTTGGGGGAAAAAAATGATTATAATCGTTCCGGAATCGTGGATCCGGACTCAGGATATCCGCCTATAGCTCAGGCGACGCCTCTCAGCCTCCATTATTATCATTCCAGAAGAATAAACCTGGGTTCATTATTCCCGAGACATTAAACCCAATCACTATTCCCAGAACGTTATGATCCCAAATTAATATCTTTTGGGGGCCGATATTCCCGGAACATTATAAACCAAGGTTTATAATGTTCCGGGGTAACATTACGAACCCCAATCAATATGTCCCAGAACATTGAAACCCAAGTTTATCATGTTCCGGGGGGGACATTATGCACCCTGGTCAATAATCCTGGAACAGGATAAACTCAGGTTAATATCTTTTTTGGGTTCGTCCTGCAGGGCTCGGCGGGCCACTGGGGAGGTGAGACATTGTCGTGGGGCACCCGTTCGAAAGCTAATGTCTTATTGAGTGTGTCCCATGAACCCTCCTCCTCCTCCTCCTGGTGCTGCTGCTGCTGCTGCGCCAATGCCTTGGGTTGATGATCCGTGGTGTCCTGGTGAAAGCAGATGCAAGCAAGGCGGCCTGGTTGACGCCCTTCAGGGTGAAGGCGACGAGCACGATCCTCCTCCTCTAACCTCCAAACCTATCCTATAAGCTCCACATTTCTGTAAGTGACCAGGGCGGTACAGCGAGGCAGCTATTATTCGCCCCTCCCCGATCCACTCCCCTCCTCCTCCTCCTCCTCCTCCTCCTGCTCCGCCTCCTCCTCCTCCTCCTCCTCCTGCTCCGCCTCCATCTCCTCCTCCTCCTCCTCCTCCTCCTCCTCCTCCTCCTCCTCCTCCTCCTCCTCCTCCCCAGGCCGGCCCTCCGCGTTTCCGAATTCGGGTTCCCGCTGGCGTGGCAGGACCAGCGGGGGGGCGGGGGGCGGGGGGGGGGTCCCGGCGACCCGCAGACGGACGGCAGCGGAGCAGCGCTCCTACAGCCCCCCAAGGAAGGAACGAGTATCACCCCGAGCCTCCACCAATCGCAGGAGGAGGCGGAGGAGGAGGAGAAGGAGGAGAAGGAGGAGGAGGAGGAGGAGGAGGAGGAGGAGGAGGAGGAGGAAGAGGACGAGCAGGAGGAGGGGCTGATGGGGGAGGAGGAAGAGGAGAAGAGCAGGATAATGATAATGAGGGGGAGAAGGGTGATGAGGACGAAGGGAAGGGAAGAAAAGGGGAGGAAGAGGAGTGGGAGGAGGAGGACGAGGGGCAGGACAATCAGAAATATGATAAGGCGCAAGCTCCCTGCACCGCACATGGAATCCGCAGGAATGCACGCGACGACCAGTCAGCCCTCTTGAATGCATGACTTGCGTGCCAACTTCGCTTCTTTCGGCCCCGTGCCTCACGCCTCCCCCCTCCCGCCCGCCTGGACTTTTGAGATCCCGCTGTACGTATCTCAGAAGGTCGCGCGGGCAGCACGGCGAAGACTCTAGTGGTTCTTGCCTGGACTCGCCGTCGCAAATGCACTCGAGCACGCTGTGTGCTATAATGGGGGGTGGCGGTTAAAAAAAGGGGGGGTGTTCATACATTCGTAATTCTTTCGCCCAGTAAAGGTTTCGGAAAGGACGATCACATAATCCGGATGACGACGACACCGACGATCAAGTATGGAAGCAAATACGTAGCACCCCGCAGATGCGGATAAGAGATTTTTCCTTAAACCAATGTGGGTCGGTCGCGGGTGGGTCGCGAGTGGGTCGCACATGGGTCGCGGGTGGGTCGCGGGTGGGTCGCTGTTGGGTCGCGGGTGGGTCGCGGGGTGGGCCGCGGGTGGGTCGCAAGTGGGTCGCGGGTGGATCGCGGGTAGGTCGCGGGTTGGGTCCGGGGTTCGGTCGCGGGTGGGTCGCGGGGTGGGTCGCTGGTGGGTCGCGGGTGGGTCGCGGAGTGGGTCGCGGGTTGGGTCGCGGGTTGGGTCGCGGGTGGGTCGTGGGGCGGATCGCGGAATAGGTCGCGGGGTGGGTCGCGGGGTGGGTCGCGGGGTGGGTCGCGGGTGGGTCGCGGGTGGGACGACGACGGCGACAACAAGCAGCAACAACAACAACAACAACCGCAACAACCACAACAACCAACAACAACACCAACGACAACACCACAAACAACAACAACAACAACAACAACAACAACAACAACAACAACAACAACAACAACAACAGCAACAATCATTTTACGACTGTTCGCTCTTCTCTGCTCGCGTGTCATTCAATGTGCATATCCCAAGCCCTGGATACCCGCCCTCTTCGTCTCCGATCGAACCCCTTCTGGAGGGCATATCCACTCCCTGCCACGCGTGGTTGGCGAAGCTCTTGAAAACGCAGGGCAACAGATAACGGGGGGGAACGAGGGCGACGGGGTCGGAGGAAGGGGGGGGGGGGGGGGCAAAAAGGAGGGAGAACTATGATTTGCGTTGCGAGTAGCGATTCAGCTTGCGCCATGGCTTGCGCCAGCCGCTCCAGCGCAAATTTACAATGCGTTTCGCCGTGGGTCGCGCCATAAACAGCGCCACGCACCGCCCCCTTGAAAAAACATGTCGTGGGTGCCCCCACGGGGGGGCGCGCAGCCGCGAACTGGCGTCAGAAACAAATTTCGTGGAACCCCGAAAAGAAGCGGGATGTTGGGAGAGTGGGGCGGACGGATCGTGAGAACTGCAACCGCGTCGAGAGGGGGGCGGGGATGTGGAGTGGGTTGGGATGGAGTGGACAAGAGTAGGGTCCCAGGAGGAGGAGAGGCAAGGAGTGGAGAAGAGGAGCGGGGAGGAGTGCGGAGGAGCGGGGGGCGCACGGAGGAATCTGGTGGAAGGGCTGGGACTAATTTGGGAGAAATGCGGAATGCGAGCGGGAAGGGGTGGAGAATGTTGGGGTGGGGTGGGGTGGCCTGGGGAGGAGTGGGCGGAATGCGAAGAACTGAAGAATAGCACAACGGAGTACGAACGAAATGAAAATGAAGATAACATGAAAGAGTCGAGAAGACTGGTAAAGAACGTTGAAAAATGGGGGCAGGTGGATACGAACGGAAACTGGTGCGGAAACAAGGCGCGGGGGGATTGGAAGGCACCCAGAAGCCTCCTATGACCTCTGGGGGGCCTCGGAATGGCCCCGATGACCACCGAGCAGTTCCAGAGGCTCCGAAAACCTGTGGGAACGCCCCGGGGGCCTCGTCGAGGGAGGCCTTCATTCGAAGCCTGCAAAAAAACCTGGGCCAGTGGAGCACGCGCGTCTCAAAGGCCGGCAAACCGGGCCCCGGCAAGCGGCGGACCGTCGGCCTGGCCACTGGCAGCGCTGGCGATGCACACACCGACCTGCGGCAACCCGACCCCAAGATGGACAGACAGCGGGCTCACCACGACGACGACGACCACGACGAGAGGAGGGGAGGAGGGAGGAAGGAGGAGGAGGGAGGAGGGAGGAGGGAGGAGGGGGAGGAGGAGGGAGGAGGGAGGAGGGAGGAGGAGGAGGAGGAGGAGGAGGAGGAGGAGGAGGAGGAGGGAGGAGGAGGAGGAGGAGGAGGAGGAGGAGGAAGGAGGAGGAGGGGGAAGAGGAGGAGGAGGAGGAGGAGGAGGAGGAGGAGGAGGGAGGAGGAGGAGGGGGAGGAGGAGGAGGAGGAGGAGGAGGAGGAGGAGGAGGAGGAGGAGGAGGAGGAGGAGGAAAAAGGGAGGGAAGGAGGGAAGGAGGGAGGAAGGGAAGGAGGAGAGGGAGGAAAGGAAGGAAAAAGAGGAAGGGAGCAACGACGGGGCCGCTGAGGGCAGGAACGGGGCCACGAAGGGCAGAGACGGGGCCACGAAGGGCGACGGGGGGGCCACGAAGGGCATGCATATGGGGCCACGACGGGCGCGAACGAGCGGGGGCCACGAAGGGCATTCGTATATGGGGCCACAGAGGGCGACAGCGGGGCCAGGAAGGGCAGCAAAGGGGCCACGAAGGGCAGCGAGAGGGCCACGAAGGGCGACAGCGAGGCTACGAATGGCATGCGTATGGGGCCACGACGGGCGACTGCGAGCGGGGGCCACGAAGGGCATATAATGCGGGGCCACAGTGGGCAGCGGGGCCACTGAGGGCAGCAACGGGGCCACGAGTGGCAGCGAGCGAAGGCGACTGCGGAACCAGTGCGGGCAGCGAGGGGCATCGAAGGCGGGCGAAAGGCAGCGAGCGGCGACTGCAATCCCTAACGGGCTGGTCGGGCGGGCATGCCCAGACGGGCGGGTCAAGCGGGCGGGTCGTTGAAGCAAAAATTCTGCTTGAACCGCCAGGCAATATGCAGCGGGAGCGCGATTCCTGACTGTCGAGGAGCAGCATCTGAATACATTGTGAGGAAGTATCAGGCGGGAACCGCGATTCGGTGGTAATTTGGAAGTCCCCAGCGAGAGCGCGATTCTTCAATACATTGTGAAGAAATCTCAAGCAGGAGCCGCGACATGGCGGTACATTGCAAGGAAGTCCCGAGCGAGAGCGCGGTCCTTCAATACGTTGTGAGGAAGTATCATGCAGGAGCCGTTGTTGTTGTTGTTGTTGCTGTAAACCGGGGGCTAACAACACAGTTTGACCTTCAAGACTTTCCCTGATAAAAACCAGGTGCGAACCCCGGGAAGGGCAATTCAATCGAAAAAACAATGTGCACCGGACGGGGGGGATCAACAATACTTATTCTTCAGAAATGAGAGTTCCACAACAACAACAGCAACGCCAACAACAACACCAACAGCAACAACAACAATCACAACATCAACGCCAACAACAAGAGCAACACCAACACCACCAACAACAACAGCAACACCAACAACAGCACCAACAACAGCAACAACACCAACAACGACAACACTCAGTCTAAGACAGTTCGCTTGTACTTGCCCGTGTGTCATTCAAAACGAGTCCCCCACACCCTCGATACCCGCCCTGTTTGTCTTCGATCTTCGATCACACCCCCTTTGGGGGATTTGTCCTCTTTGCGGGGGGCGGCGGGCTTAGACAGGCGGGCAAACCTGAACAGGCGGACAATCCTTCGTGGGCGTACATGTGCCCGCCGTTGGAATAGGTTTGGGCCCTGCAAAAAGAGGGGGAGAACGAGGGAGAGTTGGGAAAAAGGAGGGGGAGGGACGAAAGATGAGGGAAAACGCTCGGAGAGAAGGAGCGAAGAGGGGGGCGGTTGATTAGAGGCATATATATATATATATATATAGAGAGAGAAACACATATAAGAGAGGTAGAAAGGGAGAGAAAGAGAGAAAGAGAGAGAGAGAGAGAGAGAGAGAAAGAGAGAGAGAGAGAAAGAGAGAGAGAGAGAGAGAGAGAGAGGGAGGGGAGAGAGAGAAAGAAAGAGGGAGGGAGGAAGCAGGAGAGGGGAGGGAGAAGGGAGGAGGGAGAGGAGGGAGAGAGGATAGGGCACAGAGGCATCAGGATGAGGGAAGAGAGGAGGGAGAGAAAAGGGAGGAAAGGAGGGAGGAGGGAGGAAGGAGAGGGAGGAGGAGCAGGAAGGTAAGAGCATGAACGTTCGAGGAAGTCCTAAGCGAAAACGCCGTTCCTGAAGGAAGTCTCGGGCGGGAGCCCACGACGGGCGGGCGATGCCCTGACGGGCGGGTCGGGCGGGTGGGACATTCAAGTGCCTGAGTATGGCGAGAGCGCGATTCCTACGTAAATAGTGGCGGCGTCGTTGGCGCAGCGTGTTTCCTGAGCGTCGAAAGCGCAATTTCTGAATACATTGCATGGAAGTCACAGGCGAGAGCGCAACTCCTGAATAAAGTGTGCGGGGTTCTCTGGCGGGACCGGGGGTCTTGATTAAATTGCGAGGGAGTCCCGACTCAATTGCGAGGAAGTCTCAAGCGGGAGCGCCATTCCTGAGTAAATTGTGAGGAAATCTCAGATGGGAGCGGGGGTCCTGACTAAATTGCGAGGAGGTCACAGGCGGGAGCACCGATCCTTAGTAAATTGCGGGGAAGTCTCAGGCGGGAGGAGCGGGGGCCCTGAGTAAACTTTGAGGAAATATGAAGCGGGAGCCGTTGTTGTTGTAATCCGGGGGGCCAGGGGCCCAATTTGACCAGGAAGACTTTCCCTGTCCAAAAACAGGGTGCGAGCGTCGAGGGGCACACTTGGAGAGGAAAAAACAGCATGCACCAGTGAGGGGGGATCAACAATACTTTTTCTTCAGGCAAGAAATTCAACAACACCACCACCACCACCAACAACAACAACACTAACAACAACGACACGAGCAACAAGGTACGAACATCACCCGCGAGCCCCCGGCTCCTTTCTCTCAAGGTACGATCCCTGCCCGCAAGCCCCGTTGACCAAGTTCTTTGCCCCCCCAAAAGAACAAAGAACCCAGCCAGAAAAAAAGAAGAAGAAATCTTCAGCATTCCTTCGGTATCCTTGAGGCAACCAACGCATTCCATGGAGCTGAAACCATGTGCGCGCTAGCGCGCCTCCGATTCCCTAGGATTCCTATGACACCTTAGGAATCCCTAGGAATTCATAAAGAGTCATAGGAATCCCA